GGTTTGGGGTGTGTAGGGTTAGGGGATTTGGGGTTTGGGGTGTAGGGTTTGGGGTTTAGGGTTTAGGGTTTAGGGGTTTGAGGGTTTAGGGTTTGGGGTTTAGGGGTTTAGGGGTTTAGGGTTTGGGGTGGAGGGTTTAGGGGTTTCGGGTTTGGGGTGGAGGGGTTAGGGTTAGGGGTTGAGGGTTTAGGGTGTCGGGCCTTTGGCAAGTTGGGGACCTGTAAGGGAAAGAGGAAAGGGAAAGAGAAGGCCAAGCAGAAGACCTGGGCACGGATCATAGGCCGAAGCCTCTCTGGTAAGGACAGGTTTTGAAGGGCTTGGTATCTAGGTCTAGGATTTTCTTTGCGACCTAGGCCTGGAGGTTTAGGATCGTAGGACTTAGAGTAGAGGTGTGAAGTTTTGGATAGCTGCAGGGTTCTGGATAGAGCCCTCGCAGTTTTGTCGACCGGCTTTGCTCCGATGGGCTTGAGTCTTGCAGGGTTCTGGCACGATATTTCTTGAGTTCACTGGCTTTCCGTGCTTTTTGCCTCTCTGTGGGCCTTCCGAGGCTTGGCCCAGGGTTTTCGGGTGGGGGTTTAGGCACCCTGCCAGCCGAGGGTTGAGCTGAAGTTTGGTGTATATTATATTATATATATATATATATTATTGTATTATATATATATATATATATAGTCCAGTTCCATGGAAGTACATCCCAGCCTTGACGCGGCCCAGCCAGATGTGTGGTCGCATCTGGGTTTGCTGATCTCTATCCATCGGCCCAGGGGCTTTTATATAGAAGCCTAAATAATTACCAAAACTATTTTGGGGGCTCCTTATTATATTTATAGTATATAGTGGCCCCAAAACCCTATTCTAATTATTAAGGCCCCTAATGTAGAGCCCTATCATAGATCCCTTATAGAACCCATTTAAGGATCCCTTTAAAGGAACCCTATTCCAATTATGAAGGCCCCTATATTACCTCTGCTGATAGTTTCTTCCAATTCCTCAGCCGCATGTCGACCTGTCGTTTGTCGCTTCCTCCGCTCTGATGTTGGCTCTTGTGATCTGTGCTGGTCCGGTCTCCCAACGAGATTGCGCGAATCGAAAAGACGTGGGATTGCATGTGTGCTTATATATATATATATACACACACATATCATATATATATATATATATATGTGTGTGTGTGTGTGTATTTATTTATTTACTTACCTATATATATATATATATGTATTTTTTACTTACCTATACTTATTTATGCATACAGAAATACTCGCATAGAGGCAGCTGTGGTCTACCTACTATCGATCTACCATCTACTACTTTGATTCGATCGATCGATGATGGATCTATCCATCTATCCATCATCTATCCACTCTATCTATCTAGCTATATTTCTTTCTATGCTTCTTCTTTCTATCTATCTGTCGATCTATCCATCGATCTTTCTCTACCGGTCTATCTATCTACCTATCGTTTTTTCTATCTACCTATCGTTTTATGTGCCTGCTTGCATGCATACATATATACAACCACACAGACATATATACATACATACATACATACATACATACACACATACATCCATACATTAGTACATACCTACATTCATACATATATACATATACACATGTAACATGTATGTCTGTATGCAGCTATGTACGTACATACATCTTTGCAACATAATTTTATCGGCAGATATGCAGACAGGTGCTTCTACCTTTGGCCAGGTTCCATCATGGATCTTCTGCTCAAGCAGGCCAAAGCAGCCCGCGGTGACGACACCTGGATCCTTATGGAAGCAGAGGAGCCGGCTTGGGGCTGCATTACATAGTAGCTGCGTAGGTAACCCGTCGGGTATGCACAATCCTACCATAGCTCAATGCTTGCGCTCTCTTGCAAGACAAGCAGTTCAGCAGCTAGGGTTTTGAAGCAGCTTTTTCAGGCAAAGGCACATCTTCAGGTAGTGGAATAACTGAAGCACCTCTAAAGGTACTGGCGCCCAGGCGACTGACGCGTTGACTACTACGGCATATAGTGTCATGACCATTGATGCTACGTCTGCCGCAACATCTAGCTGCCACTGCTGCTAGTGCTGCTCCTACTCCTACCTTTTTCCTCCTGCTCCTCCTCCTCCTGCTCGTACTCCCACTCCTTCTACTCCTACTCCCACTCCACGCCTACTCCTACCCCTACCCCTACTCCTCTTCTCCTGCTCCTGCTCCTCCTCCTCCTCCTGCCACTTCCTTTTACGACGATGACGACGATGGCTGTTGTTGTTGTTATTGTTATTGTTTATTGTTACTGCTATTACTACTTCCACTACTATTACGACCATGACGAAAGCAGCAAGACTGACGTTGCATTTGATGCTTCTTGCTACTGCTTATCGTGATTTGTTCTCTGTTCGGGGCAGTAACTCAAAGCAATCCGGCTGGCCTGCGAAGACTTGCATTTCCGCGGTGGAAAGCCCTACAAAGCGCTGTAAACACACTTTGGCCGGCGTGCTGCCAGGTCACTGTACAAAGGCGGCGCTTTGTGAGCAGGTAGACAGCAAGCAGACAGAAACCCATGACCTGCACGCAGAGGCCGTCATTCATGCAACATCCACCGACACACACACACACACACACCTATAGACATACATGCATGCATACAGACATGCGTACGCCTGCATTGCGCAGACACGCAACACTACACACAGAGACCCAGAGGCACACATACGCGCTGCGCGAGGGCTTTTTACACGTAGGCATACGCCTACATGTACATACACTTTGTCACCTGCTTTCCCATACGTGTCCAGACACTCTGGTGCGCAAACACCGCACTGCTAGCTGTTTCTCCTTGTTTGTCGTGTTTTAGAAACGGTTTTTGACCGCAGAGAGCAGATTTGGGGCCGTGGTACTCGGGATGCAGGCAAGAGCCAATGATATCTGCCCGGAGGACGGACGCACACCGTACCAGGTGGCGGCTTTGCCCATCCGCCTGCAGATGAGACCTACGTGCCTGGATGTTTGGCACCTTGGTCTTAGAGTCTAAGTGGCTTTTGTACTGCTTCTCCTGGTTCCCAGACATTCCCCGTCTGAGGACTGGCCTCCTCCGCAGCTGGCCTTTGCCGGCGGGCGAAGCAGGCTTAGCATCCCTCCGAAGTGTGCTGGAGGCCATCGGAGAATGAGCTTGGGCGCAGCATCGACAATGAGTTTTCGCTGCCCCATGTGTAGTTCTCTAAAACTCGAATGGTACGGCACCCTTACAAAAAGGACCCTTCAAGGGATCACGATCCTAATTTACAGAACTACCCCCCTGGTGCCAGGCCAAAGGCGAAGCCAACGCTGCAAATGCTGCTGGCTGGACGCCCCTTCTCCTGTGCGCAATGGTCGATAGGCCGGAGGATCGCGAGCTGCGGCTAGTGTAGTAGCTCGGTCCTTATACTAGGAATCCTACTATTTAGGGTACTATATTAGGGTCCCCTATTTTCGGAAACCCCCACTTGGTTTTTCGTGGCTCAGGATCTAGCTTACCCTGAGCATGTGAAGCCGGAATTCTTCAGATACCAACCCCTTGATCCAGGGGCGACGCAGTCGAGCTGCTGCTGAAACACGGGGCAGACCCGTACCAGGCGAGTCTTTTGCACCAGGGACTCTAGAGACTCTAGAAGAGCCTCGTGTTGAAGATGACAAGAAGCAGCACCAACAAAGCTTTGAAAGCAGCAAGACTGAAATTCCACGTTGGTGAGGGTCAACGGGCAATGCCTTCATCAATTTCAGCCTAATTACCCTGAAGAGCTCAAACTGGAACCGAAGGCCAACCAAGTACAAGGAAGAAAGTGCCAGGTGCAATGCGAGAGCATTCGTCCCGCTACCCGAAGCAGACAAGACAATCGCTCCACCCATATCTTTGGCCCAACGGCAATTACCGTCGACTCGGCAAGCACTGCAATTCAGGCCGGCCCTCGCGGACGAACGGCCATGCTCTGGGCAGACTGGCCTCTCGGAAGCACTGGGCATTGCAACTGCTGCTGCTGCGACGACGACGACGACGACGAGGACGACGACGGCGGTGACGATGACGACGAGGACAGCAACGGCGAGGACGACAACTGCCGCTAAACTTGCAGCCAGCCAGCAAAGTGAATGTAGGACGAAACATACATCTCTTCGTCGGTGCTTCTGGAAGGCCAGAAAAGCCAAGGCTAACATTTTGTCATGGCCATCGGTGGAAACCGCAGAACAGCCTATGTCACCAATGTTGTCTTCATCGCACTGGACCAGCCCCCAACTGCATCTCTATCAAGGGCATCCGAAGACATCTCAGACACAGTCACGGTTACAAGCCTGGTCGACATGATGAACCCTGCGTGACTCTTGCCATAGCTGTATGTGTATGCGCGCATGATAGTTCAGAAAGCAGTGCATACATATACTCTCATACTCAGTATCCATGTTGCTTGTCTCACGCTCCTGTATTTTGGTTTCAAGCAGAACGTGCGGAAGAAAGTAAGGCGCTCTTCACACACGACTCATTACATGATCACTGATCCTCAGTCGTTGTTGTCATCATCATCGTGTCATCCCGATACCGGAGCCCTGAGTCTTCAGCACAGCCATTGCGTGGAGATCTACAGGTCCAGAAGCTTGGTGCGTTTCGTTGTGTGAAATTTTCGGGCTGACATTGTCCACATCTGTGCTGGCAGTGCCCCTCCAAGGTGCCCTGTAGCGTGACCTGTGACCCTGCTTTCATGTCGTCTGACCCTAATGCGATGCCAGCCACGCAGTGGTACGAATTTTGGCAACGACAGTCACCATAGCAAGGACCATTGCAATCAGAAGGGGTAGTAGTAAGGCAGTAAGGGTAGCAACGGCAAAAATTGGGCCCCCCTTACACCCCAAACCCCTTAGTCCAAACCAGCAGACCCCGGAAACCCTACTAAACCCCCACTATAAACCCTAAACCTTAAAGCCCAATCCAATCAAAACCCCAAGGCCCGAAGAGCGAAACCCTAAACCCTAAACCCTCAACCCCTAAACCCTAAACCCCACAAAGGTACCGCTGCTCCTCGGCCCTGGCTGTTTTGAAGGCCGAAGGCCGGCGAGAGAAGCGCGAAGACCGCGAAGGCCCCGAGAGCTGTGGCGCTAGCTAGGTCCTTGTTGGATATAATTTTGCATTTGTATTATAATAAAAAATAATAAGGATTAAAAAATGATCGTTTTCATGTAGCTCCAACAGGGAACCAGATAGGAGCTTTTCGCTTTTGTGTTTCCAAGGTTTAGGGTTTAGGGGTTTAGGGTTTAGGGCTTAGGGCTTAGTTAGAAGTATGGGCCCCTAATATGGACCCCTAGGGGGTTCCAGGGTCCCTTCAGGGTACATATGGGGTAAAAAGGTAGGTAGAGAAGGTCCCAGGGTTAAGGGCCCATCCTAGGGGCCGCAGAGTGTTGCAGATGTCAAGGGATCTTTTGTCTATTGCAGGCTATGGGGATACTTAAGTTACAGGAGCTGACCACGGGAGCCTAAAGTAGCAGTAACAATAAAGGCAACAATAATCGTATTCCTCGCAACAATCCTAGCACCTCATTTCTCGTGTGGTTTCGTTTCGGGGGGCCGCCTTGGTTCCGGGATTCTTATCGGAGGCTGAGTTCAGGCTGCACAGGTGCAGTTAATACAGGGGCCTTGGTGAGTATGTTGACTAGGGTTTTGGGGTTATCATGGATAATGAGGAACTCCCAAATTGTCGAATCACTTAGGTCCCAATAGTTAGTAATCAGCATTGATTGCAGACGAGAAGGATAAGGAGTTAGTTTTGGGCTGTTTCTGGCGAACCTCCCATCCCAACTGATGCAAAGACACAGGCCTGAAGAGACTGCAGACGGCTATGAAGGACCCGCTCCTGTTTCGCTAGGCTCGTCCTTGAGGGCCAACCTTTTGTGTTTGTTTTCGCGAAGGTTCTGCAGTATATAGGGGCCTTAATAATTACCTATACTATTTTGGGGGTTCCTTATAGTATAATGAGCCCCCAAACCCTATTCTAATTATTAGGCCCCTATAGTATTGCCTTGGCTCCTGGGTGGCGGGTGCCTCGGATGCGATGCCACCAGGACTTCTCGCATGTCTGCAAAGACATGAGCGCAGCTGCGGGCTCGAAAAGTGTACGGGCAACTGAATCCCTGAAGCTTGTGAGGATGTGCCTTCATGCTGTAGTGAAAGAATATAAAGAAAAAAGGAACAGAAATGTAAGCATACAAGAATTGTGTGTATATATATATATAAATGCGGATCGATAGGTCCAATAGGTTTCGCCGCAAGAAACGTGGCCGGTTCAAGCACACGGTGCCGTAGCACATGATAGGCATGACGTAGACCGATGGAGGCCGGGCCTGAGGTCAAACCGACTCTTTCAACGGCGGCGGCCATCCTGCAGACAAAGGAAGACTTTTTCTTGGCAGTGCAACATGGAGATCTTGATGTTGCCAAGGAAGCAGTTGAGGCAGTTTTTGTCATGAGGGTGCCCGTCTGGCCTGTCGTAGGGAGTAGTGGCCCACGGAGAACCCTAGCTAATTATAGAAATCGAAGCAATCGCTTGTAGGTTACGTATCAACCCTTAACTTTCTCTCTACCTACAGAAAGGGACAGTAATAACAAAACACACTACACCATGCCAGACCAGACCAGATCCGACCACCATGCATGCGCGGGATGCATACTTAATCGTACATACATACATACATACATACATACATACATACATGCATACATATACAAGCAGGCACATATCGTACAGGCTTATCATCATTATTGCGGGGTATGGTGTTATAGCAATACTAATTATCAGGATTAGCAGCAGCATTATTATTCGCATTTTCCGTAAAACCCTAAACCCTCAACCCGAAACCCTTAGAGGTGGCCCAGCCTCGATTGACGATGAATGGATGGACCTTGCTTTTCGCGGCCGCGGCGCGGAATGCGAGCCTCGGGGGAGCCGAGGTGCGATGCTTAAAAGAAGTTAGGGGTTTGGGGGTGTAGCGGTTTAGGGTTTAGGGGTTTAGGGTTTAGGGGTTGAGGGGCATGAAAGGGTTTAGAGGTTTAGGATTTAGGGTTTAGCCTCAACATATGAGTCCTTGGAGCCTTCGGACTTCGGCTTAAGGATAGATTGCAAAGGTACCCCAGTAATCTCTCTCTCTCTCTCTCTATGTGTATCTATATATATAATATATATATACACATTATTATGTGTGTATATATATATATGTATGTCAGTAGGTTTCCTGAGATGTCCCTTGATGATTTGACCTCGAAAAAGCGCTCAGGTTCTGTGCCGCCGTTTGATTGCCAGGCATGTGAATGTGAGAGGCAGCGATAAGAAGGGACGGACTCCGCTTTTCTACGCCGCAGAATCAGGTCACGCCTCGCTTCTTGGATGCCGAAGTCAAGGAGTGTGTTTAGGGTTTAAGGTTTATAGGGTTTCGGATTTAGGGTTTAGGGTTTAAGGTTTGATGTTGCTGTTTTCTGCAGTCGTAACCTTCATAACGACCCTTTTGTACCTTGGTTCAACAGGCTTTGCGCGTACTTGGTGACCCGAGTCGGCATGTCGGTGGATGATGAGGATGACTCTGGCCTTACTCCACTTGCTTGCGCCCTGAAAGCCGGTGAGATCGATGCATCCGTCACTCTGCTGAGGCAGGGAGCCTCGCTGGGTTATGTGAACAGCAAAGGTATCGCAGTCTACCAGTTCGCCTCCGAGTACGTCCTTGGCCTCCTTCAAGGGAGAAAGGGGCAGTGGGTAAAACCAATCGGCACTAACCGGAAGCGAAGTCTTCGAGACTCCCAAGCTTGCGACCTCGTGACCCTCGAGGAATGGGCTGCAAAGCGTCCGAAATGCTCTGCAGCGGGGGAGCCCATCGTGAGACACCTGGCCGACCGAGTCATCGTCGAGAACGAGACCCACGCCGTGTTCGTACCTCTCAAAGATCCAGAGTTGCGAAAGGTGCGCCTTCTCGAGAAGGGGCTGGTTCTTGACCAGGCGCGACTCTTTCAAAGCGAGCTTTTTGTGCATGCTATGCCTCCAGAGCATTGGGCCGATACACTGGGCACCCATTCGACTGAATCTGTTGCCACCAACCGAATACGCAGGGTCGTGCAGTCAACATCTCAAGACAGTGAGACGATCGTTGCTGCAGTTTGCCGTGCTTCCGGGCACATCGTTGGCTTCTCTCGTGCTTCCAAAAGGCCTGCGATTTTCGAGTACTACGCTGTTAGCACATGTTTTCGATTTCTTCTTGAAGCGGAACACTCAAATTAATCCCAAATTCCCTAACCTCGGTACCCTAAACCCGAACATAAAACCCTAGCCTAAAAACCCTGGGCTGTAAATCGCCAAAACGCTTGTACCCTCAACCCAAAGCATTGCGAAGCCAGAGGCCGTTTGCGGAGCTGTACATTGAGACGCTGAAAGTACAGGCTGGACGTCGCCTCTTTTCATGGGCAGGGTACTGTCCTAGTGGGTTTGTGTTCAGAGATTTAGGGCGGTGGTTCGGACAGACATGTTTGTGCGACGTTGCTGCAGAACAGGACGTCACATGAACACGATTATCAGAAGCGTGTTGTCATTTGTGTGAGTAAGGCTTGCTGTAAGAGCTACTATAGAAGGGCCATTACAAAGGTGGTTCAAAGGCATGAACTGAAAGGATCTATTTGTTTACCCTAACCCTGAATCCTAAACCGTAGCTACCCCAAGCTTATGACTAATGTAGACTAGGAGCCCGGCTGAGCCAATACTACTCCTTCGGGTTCCTTCTATATGAAAGCACATGCCCACAGCCCGTCTAGCTATTGAGGCCCCTATGTTGTAGGCTTGTTTTGCAGAACCCTTTATAGAACTCAGCACCCCTTTAAGGAGCCCTTGGAAGGAGCCCTATTCAGATCATTAAGGCCCCGAGAAAACAGGCTGGCCACGAGCTCCAGGGCATCGCGCGACTGATGATCCAGGCGGCCGAGATTGAGGCCGCCAAGAAGCTTTGTCAATGTTACTATACTAGATAGGTCTTTGGTTGCTGCTACTATACTAGGTAGGTCTTTGGCATAAGTTCTTCAATGTTGCTATGCCAGGGAGGTCTTTGGGGTATTGTTTTTGGCTTAGTGGGCTTAAGAGGATCTCATGTACGAATATTTGTCAGAGACTGTGAAGGGCCAACGTAGTGTAGGGGTCGGTTGAACGAGTATCGCTATCCCCTGATAGTGACTACATCGCTGTAGTGTAGTATGCCCAATATGGACGCCTAGTCGAATTACCACCATTACTCCTGAGGGTTCCATAAAATGGCTGTACGAAGATACACCCCCTCCGCCCCAAAAAAAACTAATAATAATAGTAATAGTAATAGTAATAATAATAATAATAATAAATGCCCTAGGCTGGCTAGTAACTGCTTTTTTGTTTATGAGCGTCTCTAGGCTTGGAGGGTTTCCATACGGGTTAGTTGTCAATGTTAGGTTAGGTTTTTCTTCATGCAGGGTTCTAGGGCTTCTAAGGGTTATTCGTCCACGTTACGGCTTTTTGAGAGGTCCTAAGGGGTAGTTTTCGGGGCTTCTGAACGAGGTCGATCAGGGGTCTAGAGTCTAGAAGAGGTTAGGGATCCTTTTACCCTGGTTTGGTTGGGGTTTGCCAGCACTCTCAAGCAGAGCCCCTAAAACGGATCTGGTCGTCTTTGCTATATAAGTGGGACCAAGGAAAGGCTTCGCAACTGCGAAGGTCGGGTCCCGCTGCCTGCGCCAGAATGTGAATGCACAGCGCTTCTTCAAGCGGCTCGGGTTCACTGAGGTACCTGAGCCTGCCAACACAGACCTTCATAGCCCACTCGTTGATTGCATTAAATTCGAAAGAGCAGTCGCCGTGCGCCATCGGGTCAGTAGTAAATCCTCGATGTAGTGTGGTTGACCTCATAGCTCCCATGCACCGACAACTTGCACGACGGACAAGATGCTGTGTGTTTCGTAGCCATCGAGGATTTGCAGCTGCCGCCTATCATTGAATGTGTGTGGATTTCCATGTGGCCCCGAGTGCTTTGCTCTCGAGCTGGTTGCATCTGATAATGCCCGACAGGAAAATCAGAGTGTGAGAAGAACAGGCAGCAGTAGGATCCCGATCATATGGCGGTCTCCGAAAATAGGGGACCCGAATACAGTGCCCTAAATAGTAGGACCCTTTTTATAAGGACCCCAAAGTCAGGTACCCCCATATGGACCCCTAATTCAGGGAGCTGCGCGAAGAGATGAAGTTGGAGGGGAACCCTCGCACGTCGCATGTCAAGTGCCAGCATTCATCCGCGAAACAGTTCACTCGAAACTCATGCTCCCCGTCCCTAGATGATTTATATTAATATTAGTACTATTAATATGAAAATCTTAATATTAATATGAATATGAATATTAATATTAATATTAATATTAATGATTAATGATTAATATAAACCCTAAGCCCCTAGTTCCCCGGAAGCCCTGGCAGAGAGCAGGATGAGCTGGGAGGGTCGCTGGTGGCGGCCTTGACACCTGCTGAGCTGCCAGCTGCCATGGACTATCCAGGCGGGGTCAGAGCAATACCATGATACTGCGGGTTTAGGGTTTAGGGTTTAGGGGGGTTCCTACAAGGATTTCGGTAAGGTTGTCTTTTCAGGGTTACTGTAAGGGCACGACAGGTCAAAAAACAGGGCCCTGACCACTGAAGAAAACCCTAAACACTCAACCCCATGCCCACAAAGGTTTCTAGGGTCATTACTTCTACCCCCTGGCTCATTCTCCCTGAGCCGGCACTGCAGGACATCACCCCAAAGCAAAACGTGTTGGACTGTCCTTTGCCCAGTGGGCCTGTGGCTCCACTGGATGAGAAGTTAAGGTAACGCTTCGAAGCCCCAAGTTCCGAAGCTCCCCTGTCATGTCAAATCACGGTCATTATCGTCATGACATTACTGTACCCGTTGTTCTCATCGGCGCCCACGTCATCCTCCGCACCACCATGATCACAGCGGGAGCTTCATTGCGTAGACCTCGGGCCGGGCTGCAGGCAGGGACTTCCGGGCATTGCTGGCCTTTGCACTGCCGCGGCAAGCAGAGGAGCCTTGGTCTCGCAAGGGCAGTCACAGCAGTGATCTTCATGACGGCGATGATGCGGCAACGATGCTAATGATGCCAGCGGAGTTTTCTTTTTGCAATAATGAGGCTAGCGGCAAAGAGGAAAACGACAGAGAAGATGATGAGGAGCAGGAAGGAGGAAGAGGAGGAGACTGGCATCATAATCGTGATGACGGTGATGAAGGTGATGATGACCACGATGGGGGACGATGTCGATATCGACGACGGAGACGATGTTAGGTTGCGTGATGGTCGAGCTTGTTGTCGTGGTGCTGACGCTGGGTTTAGTAACAGTGGGTTCAACCTAAATTGACCCTCTAATGTAGGAGCCTTAATGATTACCTATACTATCTTGGGGGTTCCTTATTATAGTTTTTCATAACCCCCAAACCCCATTCTAATTAATTATTAAGGCCCCTACATTATCGAGTGACCTGTGACCGGCGTTTTCATCTTGTCTGGACTTATGCAGCTAGGTTGAAGAGGTTCAGTCGGACGGGGTCTGCTTTAGCTTGTCGACAGCACCTCGGAAGTGGATCCATGAGCTGTCGTGCTTCGACTGAAGGGTTCAGGGCTATGGCTTCCGGGTCCGGGGTTACTGCAGGGGCCTAATAACTACTTATGCTATTTTGGGGCGGTTCCTTATTATAATTGTAGAACAAATGGGTCCCAAAAACCCTACTCTGATTATTAAGGCCTCTGCATTAGGTCCCCGGTTCGGGGAGTCGACAGCCAACCGGTCCTTGACACAAGCAAGCTGTAAATGGCCGCCTCCTGCTCGGGGCTCTTAAAGCTCTCAAAGCCCTAAACCCTTCAATTTCAGCAGGAGCTCACGGCCATTGAGGCACCCAGGGCCTTGACCATAATAACAGTAGTTGTAGNNGGGCTTAGGGTCTAGGGTACTAGGGTAGGCAGTAGTTAGTTAACCCCCTTGTAGACCCGAACTTCAAGACATGAAGAGACTCTTCGCACACAGCCAAGGTTTGGGAGCCAGTCAGGATGGGAAACTCAGCAGCTAGCAGCTTGCTCTCGAATTGAGGATCTNNGGTTTAGGGTTTAGGGTTGATGATCGATGCCGTGGTGTACTCTCGTTGCTGTGTTCTTGAAGGTTGACGCCACTCCTGTTTCGGACAGGTCTGGCAATTCGCTGAGTTTCCAATTCAATTGAAGGGCGACAGTCATTGCAACCACTCAGCAGTATCATGATGGCTGCGACAAGATCGCGCTGATTGTGAATGTGACTGCATCACAGGAGCAGAGCAAGGACAATTTAGCTGCGCACTTGCACCTACTCGTATGCTTGCGTCGCAAAAAGCGTTGTCTAGCAGATGGAGATCTCACGTGTGCTTGAAATCAGAGGGTGCAACGAGATATACGTATTGTTACCTGAGAAATTAGTAACCTCGAGCCCTCGACTTTCACGCGCACTTGTTCTTCAACGTACATGCCGGCTCCATGTCCCCCGGATGGACAACTCTAAACCCTAAACCCCTAAACCCCTAAATCCTAAACCCTAAACCCTAAACCCCTAAACCCTAAACCCTAACAGTGAGGTTCGGAGAAGAAGGGGAGCAAAACCCCC